GTGGCATTGTGTTTTCCTGCGGCTCATCTCCAATGGAGTGAAGTTGGTGTGATCACGGTCACAGATGCCTCCTTCTCCAACGAGAAGAACTACAAGTCGCAACAGGGCAGGATCCATTTTCTGGGTGATCTCAAGGAGATCAAGGATGACAAGACGACCACCTATAAGGTGATGCCATTGTCTTTGGATCCACGACAATTAAGAGAGTCTGCCGCAGCACTCTCCAGGCCGAAACGTATTCCCTCCAGAACGGACTCGAGACAGGTGACAAGCTGAGAGGTGTGATTGCGGAGATTCAGGGTAAGATTCGCAGTCTGAAGACATGGGAAGATGATGCCCGAGAATGCATTCCGCATTTGGCAATGACTGATTGCCGTTCGCTTTCTGACCACCTCAATCAGGAAGTCCTGGCCAAGGTGAGTGACAAGCGCCTTGGTATCGAGTTGCAAGGAATCCATGAGAATTTGTGGCAAGAAGGAAGACCAACATGGATTGCTTTCGAGAATGGAGGAGACAAGTTGATCTGGATTGCCACCAGTACGATGGTGTCGGACTGTCTGACGAAGTCCATGAAACCAGATCTGCTACTTCGAGTGCTGAAGGAGTGCCACTACACTGTACAGAAGCAGAAGTAGATTTCTCCAATGCCTTAGGAAGACACAAGAGTTTCAATGTATAGCCGTGTGACACCTGTAGAACAGGTTGAGTGTGAATTTGAGGTAGGATCTCATTCTGTTGAGCCAGGTTGTCACACTATGTTGTGTCTGCCGCCGTTTGGCTCCTAGGGCCCTTGAGCTATACCGTGCTCGCTTTCGCAGTGAAAAGAGCGTGTGGACAGTACGATTCCGGTTGCTACCGACACTTGCTTATTACTTGCTTATATCTTCTCCTTTGCTGGTGTGTTTGCAGTTTTCCTGATTCCACGGAACGCAGGGATGAAACAACACAGAAAGAAAGAAAGAAAGAAAGAAAGGAAGGAAGGAAGGAAGGAAGGAAGGAACGAAGGAAGGAAGGAAGAAAGAAAGAAAGAAAGAAAGACACAGCAAACAGTCCAAATAAGATCAATGAACTGACTCCACCGGCCCGCATTCTTTTTTGGTAGTGGCTTGTGCTTCTAGGGCAGCTGTGGTGGACACTGAATCATTCATGTCAGTTGTTCTGAACTTGAGCATGCAACATGTTGCATGTCATGCGCTGCCGCTGCCGCTCATGCTCAAGTGACCCAAAACGGCTTCAGGTGAATTTTTCTTTTCCTGGAGTGGACAGGGGTCCCATTTTTCTGCCTATGGCAGCGCAGAGTTTCAGGGAGCGAGTGGGAGCGCAATGGCCTGCAGGAGGATGCGGATTTCGCCTTCTACTTCCTCGACTTTGCCGAGGCAGTTGGGGAGGGTGGCTTGGATGTTGCCCATGCTTGGCTCGAGTGTCTGTCGAGCTCGTGTGGGTGAGGGGTCGAGCGGCGATGTCCGCGTGGTGATCGCCCAGCATGGTGGGGTGCAGTCTCCTTCGCTCATGGCGTTGGGGCTGCCGGCGGTGCGTCTGTCGAGTGCTCCTGCTTTCCACCCTCCCCCACGAGTTGTACGGCTCCCACAGAAGCGGCCGGTCGCTGCTAGCACGCCGCAATCAAGAGTTCAAGACTACCTTGGGGCGGTGTTCTTCCAGGCCAGCACCTACAAAGATGTGATTTGGCTAAGAGCCGTGCCACTGTTGAACCCTTGGTCCAGAAGCTTTTGGCCTCCCACGGGCCCGAGACATTGAAGAAGGTCCAAACGACATGGGTGGAACTGCTTGATTGGTGCCGTGATGGGGTGCTGGACGTGGCCAACCTCTCCCCCGTCGACTATGCCCGGTTGACCCAGACGTGTTCTGCTCCTTCGAGAGCGTTGCCTGCCCTCCAGCTCTTGGTCAAGAACCTTCGCGTTAAAGGTGATTTGACCTTGGCCATGCAGATGCGCGCAGCGTCCAAATCACCCTTGAGGCTGGGAGCCCGCCAGGCGCCAGTCGCCCAGCCGGCGATGTTAGCCCGATTGGAAACTGCCATGCAAGCGTCCATTTCGCTCTGTTCACGCACCTACAACGTTCCCGGCTCATCCGCGCCACTGACAAGACCCTGTTCTTCAAGTGCTTGAGGGGTAAGCAACGACCTCGTCGCGCTGGCTTCAAGTGGTCAGCCCCCAAGGAAGGGGTGTGGGAGCCCTTCGGCTTTAGCGGTGCTTTCTTGCCTGCAGTCATGGCCTTGCCCTCTGAGCACTTCGTTATTTGCTACCAGCTTGGCACCCTGAGGGAGATCTCAGGACCTATGTCTCGCTCCAAAGTGCAGCAGCGCCTGAGTGACATGCTCACTCCAGTCGACCTCACCATGGTGTAGCTGTGGCTTGGGGTTTCCAAGCCCGGCTTCTACCGAGAGTAGTGTTTGCATTCCGCCATTGCGTGTCCTCCCCCAGCGTGGCCTGATGATATTGTCAGTTTTGGTGAAGACCTCCCTCAAGCCTACCGCAAGACCCCCATGCACCCTGATCACACGTGGGCATGCATTGTCGCTTATGGGGTGCCAGGAGAGGAGTCAGTTCGTCTGAGGCGATACTTTGGACTTTTATTGGGTTGCCACTTGCAGTCACATGTTTGAATCGGTGTTCCTTCTTCTTGCAGCCAGTGATACGTCGTATCCTGCGAGCCTTAGGGTCTTTCTATTTTGATGATTTAACCGTCCAAGATTGGCAAACTACTGCTTCCGCTTGCCAGCGCTCAGTGCAGTGTGTCTGTGCCCTTGTAGGCTACCCCTTCGCAGACAAGAAGCAGCAGCAACCTGCGTCCCAGTCGAACTTCCTAGGTTTGGTCCACGACCTCGCTGGCCTTCGGGCAGACTCCACCGTCCGCCTGTGGATCCGAGATCGGTTGATTGAGAAAGTTCGTTCCCCGGCGTCCACGGCCCGTCGCGCTCAGTGCCTTTCGCCTGGCCAGGCAAGTGTAAGTTGTACTTGCCTGACCTTCTTGGACCAAGGAGCTTTCGGTCGCAGAGCACGAGCCGGGCTGAATGCCTTCAAACATCGTCAATATGCTATAGAGTTCCATTGATAATGAGCTGCTTTCCGTTTTCGGTCTTGTTGAAGCCATTATCCGTTATGCACCATCCCTTGAGGTTGGTCGTCGCTAGTGACGCCTCCCAAGGTCAGCCCCAACAGGGCAAAGCCGGTTTCCTCGTGAGCAGCCACGATCTTGCAAGAGTTGGTGCAGTCACTCGCATAGACTCCAAAGTGTTTGCGTTATGGGACCATACCCCGGTGAAAATCTCACAGCTTGAGTTGTTGGCCGTGGTCCAAGGGCTGTTAACCTTTCCGGACCTTTTTCGAGGTGCGTATATCGTCTGGTGGGTCGATAATATAGCTGCCTCAAATAGCGCGTAGCCTTTACTTCGAATGGGTCCCCAGTTCGGCTGACTGGAGTGATGGCATCTCTCGCAATGGTCTTCGCGATTCGTGGTGGTGTCGCCACAACTTCTCGGTCCATGTCAGCAGAGTGCCTATCATTCTGTGGTCCTTGCCTTTCAAAGCTTTGCATTCTTCTAGTAACAAGTTGGGGTGTAGTGCATTGGGAGTTGAAAGTTCTCTCCCCTGCCGGTATATGGAGTGCACCTCCTAGTGGCTCTAGGTGAACTTAACAACGTAAATTGGAAGAGTGCTTCTAATGCCCGACAGGGCGAAGGTACATCAGCTCCCTGCGCGGAAGGGAGGAAAAGAAGGGAGCTGACTGTTTGACTACTGATCTGAATGTTGTAGTGGCTTGTGCTTCTAGGGCAGGTGTGGTGGACACAGAATCATTCATGTCAGTTGTTCTGAACTTGAGCATGTAACATGTTGCATGTCATGCGCTGCCGCTGCCGTTCATGCCCAAGTGACCCAAAACGGCTTCAGGTGAGTTTTTCTTATCCCCACCCACCCAGCCCCTGAAACAGGTTGATGTTCGGATGCCTTTTTTCTGGGGGGGGCTCGCCAGAGTCACCCCTGCCCCATGTTCGGCGCCAGGTGGGGCAACTCTCGGGATTCTGTTCTATCCTCCGGTTGTATACTGACTACAAGAGGGAATTGAAAGTTCTCTCCACTGCCGGTGTATGGAGTGCACCTCCTACTACCTGTATATAAACTTACCAACGTAAATTGGAAGAGTGCTTCTAATGCCCGACAGAGCTAAGGTACATCAGCTCCCTGCGCAGAAGTGAGGAAAAGAAGGGAGCTGACTGTTTGACTACTGATCTGAATGTTTTTTGAATTTTTATGTGTCTCGCCTGTTTTGCTGGAAGGTATAGGGGTTCTTGCTTCTCTTGGAGCAAGCCCTTGATTGCCTGGAACTCTGGGATCTTGGAACCAGATTTTGATCACGACTTCTCGCCTGGGATCCTGCAACCATGTCATGGAGCTGATTTACACTCCTTGTTGTGCACTCTGATGCAGTCCCCCTATCCCATCATAATCATGTTGCATTGCTTGTTTGGCAATACTTTTTGCATTTGGCATTCTGTTCGTGGGCAGAGCGACCTCATAGGTCATAGGTACGCTTTTCCCCAAACAGCTTACTGTTGGGTTCTATCTATCTTAGAAAAAGAGAGCTGGCCACAACTGACTGGCCGTACCCCTGAACTCTGTGGCCGGGCTCTGTGGCCGGGTCTTGTCCTCCTGTTGTCCCTCTTGTCCTGCTGTCCTCCTCTTGTCCTGCTCTTCTCTTGTTTTCTCTTGTGACCAAACAATTAGCGATGTCGATGCCGACAATAATCATTGATAAAACAGTTTTCTTTTGGGGGGGAAGGTAGGCGTACCAAGAAATCGTTTTTGACCAATATCGGTCCAAACAAATCGTTTTGAAACTGCGGAGGGTCTATATATATATATATATATATGTTGACTTTCACTTGTTGACTGTCACCTGTTGATGGATATTGTTACTCCCCCGACACTGCCTTGATACCATGATGTATCAATGTCTCCTCGGGGAGTCTAGCGACGGAAGAGGAGCTAGCCAGAAACCTGCTGAAAAGCTCCCGGAGAGCCAGGCGCGCAGAAGTGGAAATGACTGATGGAAGTGTGTACAGAGGCGTCAATATTGCTAAGCATTCCAGGCGCCAATGAAAGAGGAACCCAAGGAGCAGCCTGAGGAACAGCCCAAAGAGCAGCCTAAAGCCGGTGAAGAAGAGTGACAGAGTTGACAGGCCAGTGGTCATTTACCCCAAGCTTGTGAAATGTTTTTGGGGCTTCAACAGTCTTTTTTGAAAGATGGCACAGGTATTGAGAGACTACCTGCAACTATCCGCCGATCTTGGACCAGCATTCCAGCCGACAGAGTCACATGCGTCTTTCAACACAAACAATTCTGATGAGGCTATAGCTGCACCACTGCATGCGAACAACACCCGTGAGAGATACTGACAAAAAGGAGCAGTGAGTGAAAAGCGCAGAGCGAACGGCTGAAGGTGGACATTTGGTGCCAATTGACGCTTCTTCTCAATGAACTCAAACAAAGCAGGTCCCCGAGTCATCCAGGCTCGAAAGAAGCTAGCACAAAAAACAATATATATATATAATATACATCTCTTTGTCTCTGTGTTACTGCACCTTTGGCGTATGCATGGATTAACGGCAATTCAAGAATTCTAAAGAGAGGTGAAAAGGACCTGAATTCGTGGACGACTTTCAGTCATAGACCTGGGGCTGGCTCGGGCCCGCTTGCGGAACCACGGAACCTTCGCCATGAAGCGTCCAGCCAGCAGAGGTTCTTCGCACCAGGTGCGGATCGCTTGCCTGGGGGACTCCAATACGGTGGGAGGAGGGCTGGGGAAGCTCGGCGCCGACAACTTCAGCCTTTTCAGCTATGGCCAGTTCTTGTTTTAGGTTTTGCATGTTTCAAGCAGTCTTGGGTGGTCCTTGTGCAACTTCGCTCACCAATCACCATTATTTGTATTGTACTTAAGCTCCTTTTCTGAGCTTGGTGCCAAGGAGGGATGGCGCCTATCCAGCACGGCTCCAGGCCAAGCTGGATGGGCAAGTTGCTTGTCACTGCCAGTCACTGTCACTACCACCTTTTCAGCACACAGCTGAGCGGTGGGTCCAAAAGTAGAGACCCAATGGTAACCGCTCAGGCTGGCATTGGAGCCTTCTTGGTGAAGTCCTTTGGAGTCAACGGGGCTGTCGCCGTCAACACGCCTGGGAAAAAATGCTCCTTGCCATTCGGCTGTCCGTCTTGCGTGTCGTTCCAGCAAGCAGCCGACTGCACGAAAGCAGCAGCCCATGCTCCAAGACTTGGGGCGAATTGGAGAATTTGAAAAACAACAACTCTATACTTGCCCTAAGAAAGGGCAAACAGCGCACTCAAACATTGAAACCACGTTGAAGGCGTCACTCCGAACTATGGTTTTAGTTATTCAATTGGGGCCCACTTGCGTAGTAGAAGACTGCCGCAAGTCAAGTCATTGTGCTATGGTTCACTGGTCTCAAGCATGTACATACACCATGGCATTTTTGGACTGTCACTTTGGAAAGATGCGACTGGGGAACTCTGGTGAAGTTTCAAATTTGAAATTGTTTGAATGTGTTTGAGACCCTCCTGAAGCTCACAGGCTATGTGAAAGAACGGCGCTATGTCGATGCCACTCACTTCCATGCACACGTTCACGTGGTGCCTCAGAGGCATGGCACAATGCCATTCAAAGACACCACGAAGACTCAAACAAACACAATGCCAAACGACCAACCATGGCTGTGTTGATCTTCAAAGTTTCTTTTTGTGTAAATTACCTCCCACACGCGACTCTTCTTGTAAACATTTGCCAATCAATAGCGTCAGACTTCTAGTAGCGATGCCCTTTGTTCCTCAGGTGATGTTAGGTACGAATGATGCTGGGCACATCCATGGCGAGCCTGAAAGAGTGGGAGAGGCCATTGCCGCCTTGGTGAAAGATTTGCGAAGGCGAGCTCTGGGGACAATCTGTTTGAAACTTGCTTGGTCATACCTACGGCTTCAGGTCTTTTTTGGGGGGTAGGCCGTAGAGGAGGTAGTAGCTAGGTAGCTACTAGGTACAGGAAGCTACTACATATGGACGCAGGATAGCGCTTGCACTAATGATTGGGTTCCCAGATTTTTAGGAAGATGCATACTTTCAGCTTGCAGCTTTGCCTGAAATCACGAAGCAACATCACAAAATACACCTTGCTGCGCAAAACCAACTTATGAATCCCCATGGAAGGAGCCTAAGCATTTTTGTAGCAGCTGCCAACATCAACATCAGTAAGGACAAGATTTGCCTGAACTGAGGGGAGGCATCGCAGCAGCGAGCAAGTATCCAAAGTTTGTGATTGTCCAACCTCCTGGCGCAACTTGGCAGGTGGTTTATCCTCCAGATTTCCTTAGATACTCTCGGTTACATAGCGCGCTCGCACAGACGCTCAGGCCAAAGCGCGCCACCAAGAAAACTTGAAGACCCATGTGTATCCCTCACTGAGAAAGGTGGTGCACCTCGGCCAGTATCAGGACTGATGTGCTTGAACAACCTAGGCATAGCTGGGCCCTATAGGCCCTAGAGCGCCGAGATAAGCTTGATGGCCATGAAATACAGATGTCCTTGCAGTCGGCAACTTCAGGCGATCGATCAAAGATGCTACTCTCGTGGATTTGGAGTTGAAACCAATGGCCTACGCGACAGACCAAGTGCACCTTTCTGAGCAGGGTCCCTTGACTGCCTGTCATACTGTGTTTTGGAAGGCTTTCGGGAGGGGTGAATGCCCGATTTCCGAGCCACACGGGATTGTCACGCTCCATGCTTCTTGTCAGGTGCGGAACAGGTTGCCGCAGCCGTTGCAGCCGCGATTCTTTAGGCGTGGTCTGGACCACGCTGGGCGGCACGTGCTTTGGATGCGTGAGACCTCCGTGGTGCAAGACAACCCCCTCAGCAACGATCCAGATCGGGCGCCAACCTTTGACACTGCATCTCCTCAGGGGGCGGTGGTGCTTCTGACGCTCCAAGCACTTTGGGAGACAGAAACTTGACCTGGTAGCGTGCCACCCCTGCCTACAGCAGCTTTGGAGAGCCGGCTTGAGTGCCACCAGATCATCCTCCTCTTGGTTTGAAAATAGGATGTTTTGATTATAGATATATACGCATGTTTCGGTGGCCTGGGGCGAAGTATGTCCAGTGATTCTGTTCTGGCTCGGGATTCTTTGAAGCTCCCGGGTGCCGACAAGGTCAAAAGGGCGGCAGATTTGACGTAACCCACGCTGCGGATGATGCGCTTTTTTCCTCGAACAGTGTGCCATGCTTGGAGCTACATTGTTTTTGCGATGGCCAAGATGCTGAAGCACTTTACAAGACATCACTTTTGATAAACCATCGTATATGTAGCCACCTATCTGAAGAGAACAGGGGCCAGTCCCCACTCCACCATGAAGGGCATTTTCTGTGATGCTTGCAGCTGCTTGTGATGCTTTGTGCTGTGATGCTTTGTGCTATGCTCACACACCAGAAGCGACTTCTTGCGTGTTTCTATTCACCATTACGAGGAGCTGTGAGGTCTTAGCCTTCAGAGTTTCGGCTCTCAGCATGTCAAGGCGGCTTGGTTCAGGGGACCCAGCCGTGCAACGCCATGACCTTCCAACGAGGGGTGGTTTCTGCGCTGCTAATTGCAGCAGCATCTTGCATGAATGGGCCACGCTCCAGAGAGAAAGAAGCCAAATTCAGCCAGCAAATTGGAGATCATGAAAAACACTTACCCCGTAAAGCTTTGCGCGCAGTGCCAGGCCTATGCGGCAAAGGGGGCAAAGCAAGACCATAAGCAAGATCAATCAGGGCAGTGTGAGTCTGTCCGTTGCTGCACAAAGGGTTGTGGTGATTACGCCCAGGTTGTCAGCTGGCTCTTCAGATCGCGCTTCAGACCTGAGAATCTGCAGCCCGATCTCAAGGGGAAGGCGTGCTCGACAAACTTGTTGCAGCTTTGACTTCTGGGTTGAACTTGAGGTGTGCTCCAGTATGGGTATGGCAATCACATGCAATGCCGGCCCAGTTGGTTGCCTGGCTCAGGTGGCTGTGGTGACTGGAGGCAGCAGAGGAATTGGTAAAGGAATTGCCGTCGCATTGGGAGAGGCTGGAGCAACGGTGTACATCACAGGCCAGGGGGCATATTGGCGGCGTTTCTAATATTTAATTCTCAAGGTGCTGGGAGAAATTCTTGGATATGAAGCAGATAGATGCTGAATAACTTCTTTACTCCTAAGAATATGTTTTGGGTCATGCAACGTATATAAACTCTCCACGCGTTCTCTCTCGTACCTTGGCCCTTTGAAGCTGGGAGCCAGCCAGCGAGGAAGCCAACAAGATGCAAATCTGAACCTTCGGGGTTTTGCATTATGATCATTATGCATTGCCGGAGGAGGCAGGTAAAAGACAGTGAAGAGAAGGTTGTTATTGCGGCCAGTGTTGCATCGGCAGGTAGGAGCTTGAAAAAGAGCAGCCCGCCTGACACCAACAAGACGGATACGGAAGGATCCTTGGAAGAGACCTGCAAACTGGTGACTGAGGCGCAAGCGCACCAGTCAGTCATTCTTCAATTGATGTGCGTTTGACATTTTCAAGCTTCGATTCTGAGATAGTGTATTGTTAGGCAATTAGTCTTGAAAGGGCGATCGCCTCATGTGAAAGGTGGTGTGGGCAGATGGGAATGTGTGAGGCGGGTGGTGAATGCATTCCTTTGGCTGTGGATAACACGGATGACCGGAAGGTGCAGGGCTTTCTGAATGAGGCCAGAGTAGCAGTTTCAGTCAGAGTGATTGCAAAAACTGCAGTGGGCTGTGCAATGAGCAACTCCTCTGGTCACAGAATGGCAGATTACCAAAAAGCACGGCCACATTTCCGTGCTGGTGAATAATGCCTTCAGCGGCGTCAGCTACATGGAGAAGCATGTCGGGGAGCCATTCTGGCAAAAAGGCAGTGGGAGAGTGGCTGACATCACGGGGTCTTGGGTCCAGAGTGGTCCATGCACAGCTGAGCTCTAGAACATGTAAATCCCCTAGATTTGGTCCCAGACGCACATTTGCCGTGGGACGGGCGCATGGTTGCTTCGAGGCCCTGAAGCTTGGGACGCTATAAACAAAGTAGGCCTGCGGTCTCACTACGTGGCGAGTAGCTATGGAGCAGCTCTGATGTCTGGCATGAAGCCGGGCCTGATAGTCAATGTTGGTTCCTTCGGAGGATTAAGTTGCTTGAACGGCACAAGTTCTCGAGCAGATGGTGATCGTTTTCTTTTTTGGGAAGATCACGGATGGGGCACGGATTTGCGTAAATTTCCTGGGCCCATACGCATCACCGGAGGCTACATTGTCGACGTCGCTTATGGAATTGGAAAAGCAGCAATGGACAGAATGGCTGCTGATATGGCAATAGAGCTGGAAACAAAATCGATCACAATGGTTTCTGTGTGGCCTGGGCTCGTTCAAACTGAGAAACTTGGAGACCATTGACCATCAGCTTTGCTTCGGAGACGGCCAACAAGACAAACAGAAATCCTGACGAATCACTTCTTGCGTGTTATGAATGACTTCAGTGATCAACTTCTTGTCAGGGAAGACATAACCGCCTCAGCCCTGTTAAAGATTTCTGAGTAGGAGCCGACAAAGATCCACAGGTTCCGCTGCTTAGTTCCTTTTTGGTGGGATTGGTTCGCCACGTTGCCGTGGTGGATCATTCGTTTGAGGAAGCTCCAAGATGGGGCCATTCCATTTGAGCGGTTGCAACCACGCCGTGGTCTTGCACCAGGCGTTCCGTGCCGGCCTAAGCCCTGAGCATTGATCTCAGGACAGTTGAGTAGTTGCGATTGCCCATGCTAGACACAGAACAGTACAAGTACAAGGCTGTAGCTCGGGATTCCGTGACGGAACCTCCAGGAAAGCACGCTGAAGGGTCTGAGGTCGACATGACATGGGCCGAACAAATCCAGCGAGTAGGCTCTCTCGTCCTCTTGGGCTGTCATTGCTGTGGCCACCTATGCTAAGGCAAGCAGATTTCGGGGAGATGTTCAACACTCCATTGGTCACTCGGCTGGAAGCGACAGCCCTGCATGGCTAGCTGCCCCCTTTGATTCTCACCCCTCAACCTCAACCAGTCCAATTTAGGTGCTTCTGAACATATGCAAGTCGCGAAGCCGAACGGTGTGGTTCTTTTATGTTCTTTTACTTACAGTGCCGATCAGGGAAAGGTTATCGTTATTAACCTCCTCAATCCTATTTCAAACCATCCTGAGATTGGGCCAAGCGATAGCTGAGTAGCGATTTTCTGCTGGAGATGATGAAAAGAAGATGAAGAGGTCACTCCTTCAATGCGTAGGCTGCTTTTCTGATACTGGCGGATTGGCGTAGGCTTGCGCAGGCTGTAGCTGGAGCCACTTACATAGGTTGTTTACGTAGGGTCGGTTGTTTACAAAGGGCTTTTTCTTGTTCCTGGCCTCCGCGTAGGCTGAGCGTAGGCCCCGTGTAGGCCTGTGTGTAACCCTGGCTGGTTAAGGCCCAAGTGCCTTGGTGGTGTGATTGGCAGCTAGTAGTGGGCCGTCACAGCTGGTCGGCTTGGCCTGGTGGCTTCCATTGCAAAAGAACTTTGTTCTTGGTGTCCCCGTTCAGGCTCCACTTAGAGCAAAGCTCCTGCGTAGGCAACCTTCAGAATGGCGTCGGCTATGCGTAGGCTGTAATTAAGCTCCAAGCACCCCCCAAAAATCACTACTCAGCTGTTGTGATGGTGAATTGATAGTTCGCACCGGCGGTCCGTACACCGAATAAGTAGTTGCATCCCTCGAGCAGCTGCAGCAAAATTGGCACGCAGGCATGGCTCCCATAGTTGGAGTTGCTCCTTGTCCACGAGAACTTAAAAGCACCAACAGAAACATCGAACGGAACTAGCCAAATGAAGCTAAGAAAATGACCTTTCACATCCTTCACTATAATCCGAGCTCTCTCTCTCTCTCTCTCTTACAAGTTTCCTGCTCCATTGTGTGTCCACATACATCAGTGTGTCAGTTGGTTGATCAGTAAACCATCCCAACCCTGAGGCCGAAACACCATTGTTTGTGGGGCGCACATTGGCCGCACTAGCGCGTGATCGCTCTATGCTGCAGTTCAGTGGAAAGGCTTGGCTTTGTTGCTGGGGCACCTAGGGTGTTTTGCTACTTAAATTGCTGCACTATTGTGTCGGTTGGTTTGATTGTGTTTCATCTCTGGAAATCCGTCAATCCTTGCTCGTGCATTAGATTTTCGCCTGCCTTCAGGGCTCCAGCGAGTGGCTTTTCTAGCCTTTTTTTCTTGGCGGGCCCGACCATGGATGATTTCTCTTTTATCGTGACAGCTGTTTGCATTTATGTTGGAATTGTGCTCTCCATCGGCACCCCCAACCTGCTAGTCGCATGCAACAGCAGATGGAGCGTCATTTTTGGTGCGACCGAGTCTCCGAGTCGCATGCAGGAGTCACGTCGTGAGTCGATGCAAGCTTGGGCAGCCATTGTCACGGCCGTTTCCGAGATGTATTTTGTGATGGTCTCTTCAATGCGAGTGTGTTTCCCCCACTATTTTGTGCGACCCCTCTGCCAAGATCTCCAGATGTGGTGTTGTTTTGCCTTCCTCGCAGGTCTACGATGGACCTGCAGACCTGGGGCCCAGATGTCGAAATGGGAAGCAAGGCTTGTCACAATCCTCTTCAACGTGTCTTCCGTGCTGGCGCAAATCGATGTCCCCAAGGAGTTTTTGCCAGCCTGCGCCGTGTCTCGGGCGACCCATGGCTTATTCACAGCAGATCCACTGTTCACCATAGTCGTCCGAATTGCTTGCATTCCATTGTCAGTCGTGGTTCATCATCTCCGGGCAGATGCTCCGGGCTATGGGCCTGATGCCCTTGTGGGATGTCTCTTGGTCATCGTTAACGAAGGCCTCTCAGCCCTTTGCATGTTCTTCACCCTGGCAGAAGTCAATGATGCATTGTGCAAGCAAGAGCAGGCGGCCACGGATTTACAGGACCAAATTCAGAAGAGGGAAACAGACATCAAGGAGACACAACAGGTTCTGTTGGCAGCGCGTCGGCTTTTGTCAGTCGTGTGTGACTGCTGTGAGCAGCTCACGCACAATTGGGAAATCATGAGGCCATCGCACCGCATTTTGGAACTCCTGCAGGTGCAGGTAGAGAAAGCAGCTGAGACAACCGAGGAACCTCAAGGATCCATGTTGCCGTTGTTGGACTTCATCACTCTGGAGGACCAGGGGCGATTCACAGACTTTGCCACTGCATCGCACCATTCGGACGCCCCGTCATCTTTGCACGTCCAAATGCAGACCAGCAAAGGCACACTTTTTGATGCACAGATTTTCCTTGTGAACCTGCCTGATTCCCTGGTCCAGCACCCACAATGCCTGATTGGAATTGCTACGCAAGGACCTCCAGAGCCTCTGTATGACATGATCAGCATTCCAGAGAACGCCACCCTTGCCATGCCTAGCAGGGGCAAAACAGGTGGAAACACAGCCAGGTCTAGGTCCTCTGTCAGCTGTTCAAGCACTAGCACTTCCCAGAAGAGTCATTGGGATCCTTCGCCCAATCTCCTAGCCGGGTTCAGTGACATCGACAACATCTCATTCTTGCTGGACCTGCGCACAGGGGTTCAAGGCTATTGTGTCCGTGCCCTACAATTCTGTTTAAAAGACACTACAGCCCCTGAGCGCTTGCCCAAACTCTACCAATGGGTAAAGCGCAAGCATCAGCCTGTCGTGGAAGATTGGATCCAGGAGCATGTGAATGCCTGGTACCGAGGGGATGTTGAGCCTGAGGAGATCTGCAGAGGGATCAGGTGCAAAGTTCCTGGCCTCGGCGCTGATTTCACAGTGGGAGAGATGGCTTGTTTCGGTATAAGTTCCAACGAGGCTGAGGGGCTAGGGGCAGATTACAGTCTCACCATGAAAGTAAATCTCCGAACGATGGTTCTGGCCAGGGACAAGGCATAGGGAGGTGAGACGCCTTGTGTCAGGAGCATTTAATTGCAGTGGTTATAGCATAGTTATTTCTTTCTCAACCCGCAGTCCATGCGCGAATCCTGTAGCATACTGCAGGCAGATAGGGGCCACAGTCGGCTGTGGCGTCAACAAGAATATTGTAACGTCAAAAGCCTGTGACGGTGCATATCATACAGAATACGAGCTTTTGTCGGAGCTTCTTACCATCATTGCTCAGTCGAGACAGGCTTTGTTGTTTCACCATTTGACAGTTTCACACCCTTCAGTGCCAAGGGCCCTGTGGTGTTTTGGGCCTGACACTCAGTTTTAGCATCAAAAAGTGCGGTTGAAGCGATGCAGCCCATGATGACTCCATCTCTCTTTGGATTGCTTGCAGGTGCTTATCCCTGCAGTGATGGCTTCGGGCTATGGGATCGTAGATGAGCGGGGGGTGCGCAGCCCTCCTTTTACTTCAGTGAAGTCTCTTGGAGCTCTCCAGCACCCGATCTAAATCTAAAGTGTGTGGGAAGTGGGGAGGGCCCATAGTGTGTATGCGGCTCAAAAGGTTGTAATGAGGGGAACACGGTTTTGCACTTATTTTTGATTTGTAAGTGCAAGATTGGGGCTTGAAAGGTGCGCATAGTCTCATAGTATTATAGTCCTAGTCCTTTTATGGAGAAGGCCAGACTTGGGATTTTTCGGGATGTATTCACCAAAATTGTGCCTCCAACATTGTGATGAGACCGACAGAATTTGTACTCACTCGTTCGGCTTGTTGGATCATGCGTTGCTACCTAAGGTTCATGGCATCCTACCTCTTCAAGTCCTTCTTGCAGTACTATGACCTTTGGAAGGTCGCCTGTCTTTGTTAGCCGTGAGGGTAACAACTAAGAGGTGGTCCAGAATTCATTAAGGGAGGCTACATGATGGCAAGATTCTCACAGAGAGAAGATGACCTTTGCCTTTCGCAGCCATTTTCAGGTTCCGGAAGAGCTTTTTGCAAAACACCCACCAGCATCTTTGGCCTGGTCAGTATGCGTTATGTTACGATTTCATGATCTGATTTGAAGAGTCTTGCCATGCATCGCGTGCAAAGATGTAGTGGAAGGAGTGGCAAAGGGTCCTGTGATGTTTTTGCCGCAGAACCAATCCATTAAAATCTCATAAAATCTCTTTGGAAGACAGGTGCGGGGTATATATATATATATTTATGATGTAATATACAAGTGAGTCATGCAGCTGGCACAAAGTAGTGACTCGGATGCGATGGTTGAACATGTAGGTCTCAGAGAGCATGAACTTCTACTGGAACAAGCTGCCGGACTTTACCTTTCCCAGCTTTCTTGTGAAGCTTCTTGGGTGAAATACTCTTGAAGAGGTCCAACTCAGAGCGCCCACAGTCATCGCAACACTGAGGCTGACTGCTGGAGCTCCCAACCTGTAAGGGTTTGAAGCTTGGAAGCAGAGGGTGGGATGGCAGCACGGAAGACCTTGACCTGCCAATCATTGAGATGCTACTCAATAAAATGCATCAGAGATGCCGCGCGCCTCGTCAAGCTGGTGTTACGCGCGCTCTAAAAGAAAGAGCTACGCAGGACCGCATGAGGCACATGAGAGATGGTGAGCACTACCTTTGATCGAAGTGGCTTGGGGATTGACAGGGGGTACGCCAAGATACTCTGCACAGTTTTCCACAATCCATCTCTCTTATTTGTACATTTGTAGCCATCATTTTCGCCTTTAAGTGCCAGTGAGCCAGGCTCTCTGTGTTACAAGGGTGCATGAAAAGATGCGGACTTGCACGCCTTGCATCCTGACAGACCTTATGGTTTGTACGAAGCCCCTCTGGTTGGTGCTTGGCTGTTGTTTCATCTGCCCTGCCCAGGCAATTTTACCCAGCCCGGCCCCGAGTGATGCTTGTGCTGATGCCCTGAGAAGCACCGGATGCAGACTGAACCCGTTGCTCCATTCAAGCCATGGATTGCAGCGAGGGAGAGCTTAGTTTGTGGGCCCCTTGAACTCAAGAATGGTGATGCTGTGTTCAGCCCAAAGTCCGGCCTTTTTAGCACCTAGAACGAAGCAGCAATGGCAGAGGGCAGTCCTGGCCTCAGGTATTTCTTGAGAGGACACTGTGCTTGTTTGAGCCGCCCTTTTGTTTCAATTGGGCAGTATCCTCAAAAAGACCTAAACATCTACAGCAACCGATTTACTACCCAGGCCCGCTAAGATGGCTTTTCTTCGGCTGTGGCGCAGTGGGTGGATATTTTGGAGCTCGTTTAGCAGAGCAACTGGGTTCAATCGTTGGCGTCATGGACGTTCGCGAAGGAAGAACGTTCCATTTGGTTCCGCTCTAGAGTAAGATTGCTGTTGGGTATGGTAGATCAGATCCACCTACTAGATGGCTTGTTGTCCAGCCGCAGACATGTTGCACGAACGCCTCTCCTTTTCTGACTCTACGGCCAGATTGCACACTGGGGAGTGCACACTGTTTCTGTGGTCTACTTTTAAATTATCCGAAGCTTGTTTGCTCTCAGGAAGGGGCAAAAAGTTAGCTTTATGGCAACTTGGCGTGACTGTAGCGAACCACTAAGTGCCACACCTTTCTGACCATGTCAGTTTGGTTACTGTAGTTAGGGATGTGCTACTTTGTCAGTTGGATTTGTTTTCCATGTTGCCACTACAATGGCAGGCCCTTTGCAGAGATTGCCCCATGAGTCATGAAGTCTTTGTGATTGCTGAATGCCCGCGCCTGCCAGGTTAGGAAAGAAACATTGCGAGCTGTGGCATTTGACGGCGTGCGCGCATCTTGCAAGCAAGAGGGGCAAATGTGGGCAAAGCTCCTGACAACTTGTCCAAAAGATACCACTAACATTGTTAGTTTTGGCATTTCTTAGATTGCTTAAGGTGCAAAGCATTTGTGGGGACTTGCAGATCCCTCGAGAAAAGCTGGACCAGGCCATCGGCTCAATTGTGGTAGCCAAGTAGGCAAAAGAGCCAACGAGGAAGCAGGACCTCGAAAAGAACAGATCAAAAGAAATCCCGGTGGGTTCTTTCCCACTTATACATGGCTATATAATGACAATGACAATGACAATGACAATGACAATGACACCACCACCAATGACACCAATGACACCAATGACACCAATGACACGAATGACACCAATGACACCAATGACACCAATGACACCAATGACACCAATGACACCAATGACACCAATGACACCAATGACACCA